GGCACCCACAGCTCACTTGCCCAAAATCCACGTGACTTGTGAGAATGGATCGCCAGTGACTGACTGTGTGGCAGAAAAACATAGGTCATGAACAGGAAGGCTATGTTGCTGTGACCATGGGCAAGGTCATCTTCTACCTGAGCCTTTTCTCATGGGGACATGGGAGGACAGCAGCCCCTCCCAGGGTTGTGGTGAGGATTGACTCTAACATGACCATCATGGGGCCTGCTGTGTCTGAGCTTGGGCTGGTTCCCACAATCTCAGCTTCAGAGCCCAGAGGAGAGGCCAGGCTGGGACGTCACCTTGTGATTGTAAAAGTGCCCATTGATGGAGAACCGGTGTTGCCGGATCCGCTGGGCCTCGCTGGGTGCGCGGCACTTGGGCCTCCTCTGGACCATACAGCTGGCGTCGCTCTTGGTCCGCATCAGCTGTGGGGTCTCCTCGTCCTCCTCCAGGGGCCCTGCAGTGAGACATGGACGAGAGCGTGGCAGGGTGGAGTGATGGTGGCAGAGCGTCTGCTGCTGCCCCAGCAGTCATGCCATCTGTAGGTTGGCTCCGAGGTGCCTCATGGTCACACAGTACTGTTGCAGACGGTAACGTTAGTGCTGCTCCTTTGTTGGAGGCTGGGGCGGAGCTTGGATGATTTGCAGTCTGCAGACAGGAAAAGTGACCCCGGACAGGGTAACCTGTGTCACAACATCACAGGCCATTTGCCTCTTGGTCTCTGTCTCCCTGCACCCAGGGAGATCTTTGCCCGCCCCCCGTCCTCTGAGCACCCACTCTGGGACAGGCGCTTCACTGAGTGCTGAGGGAAGCGACACAAAAAAGGACAGATGAGCAGTTACAGATCCCAGAGCATGAGGACTTAGCCCTGGAGGCCTGGGGACGGGGGGGGGGGAAGTGGCCTCTGCTGATGCTCTATTTTGTGGTGCGGCACAGTGCAGGGGACTCAGGACACTGACAAACCCACCCCGCAAGCCTTCGCTTCCTTTTCCACAAAGAGGAGTAGATGAGAATGGGCAGAGTGCCTCGTGTTGAGTGCGTGTTCAGCAGGTGTTTATCAGGGTAGATGCCGAAGACAACTGGGGCTGCTCCCTGCGACTCCACAAAGCTGTTCCTCGGGGATTATGCTTATGGGCCAAGCTCCTCTTCTCTGACCCCAGAGGACACGGTCCTGGCAGCCCACAGGCTCCACTTACCTGCACTGTCTCTGGAACTCTCAACCTTGAGCACCAGCTGGGCCCCTGGCTCCTCAGTGGTGACCCTTTTGTCCTGGGGAGATGGCTCCTTTCTGAAAAGAGACAGTTGCAGTGATCAGACGGCTGCAGGCAGAGGAAGATAGTGCAGGCCAAAGAGAAGAGGCTGCAGTCTTGGGGGCAGGACACGGAAGAGAAGCGAGGCAGGCTGAGTTGAGACGTCCCACAGTGTCTGCTGGAAGGACAGTGAGCCTGGCCTTACAGGCCCCGGTGGTCTGGGCNCATCTGTAGGTTGGCTCCGAGGTGCCTCATGGTCACACAGTACTGTTGCAGACGGTAACGTCAGTGCTGCTCCTTTGTTGGAGGCTGGGGCGGAGCTTGGATGATTTGCAGTCTGCAGACAGGAAGAGTGACCCTGGACAGGGTAACCTATGTCACAACATCACAGGCCATTTGCCTCTTGGTCTCTGTCTCCCTGCACCCAGGGAGGTCTTTGCCCCGCCCCCCCCCGTCTTCTGAGCACCCACTCTGGGACAGGCGCTTCACTGAGTGCTGAGGGAAGCGACACAAGAAAGGACAGATGAGCAGTTACAGATCCCAGAGCATGAGGACTTAGCCCTGGAGGCCTGGGGACGGAGGGGGAAGTGGCCTCTGCTGATGCTCTATTTTGTGGTGCGGCACAGTGCAGGGGACTCAGGCCACTGACAAACCCACCCCGCAAGCCTTCGCTTCCTTTTCCACAAAGAGGAATAGATGAGAACGTGGGCAGAGTGCCTCGTGTTGAGTGCGTGTTCAGCAGGTGTTTATCAGGGTAGCTGCCGAAGACAACTGGGGCTGCTCCCTGCGACTCCACAAAGCTGTTCCTCGGGGATTATGCTTATGGGCCAAGCTCCTCTTCTCTGACCCCAGAGGACACAGTCCCGGCAGCCCACAGGCTCCACTTACCTGCACTGTCTCTGGAACTCTCAACCTTGGGCACCAGCTGGGCCCCTGGCTCCTCAGTGGTGACCCTTTTGTCCTGGGGAGATGGCTCCTTTCTGAAAAGAGACAGTTGCAGTGATCAGACGGCTGCAGGCAGAGGAAGATAATGCAGGCCAAAGAGAAGAGGCTGCAGTCTTGGGGGCAGGACACGGAAGAGAAGTGAGGCAGGCTGAGTTGAGATGTCCCACAGTGTCTGCTGGAAGGACAGTGAGCCTGGCCTTACAGGCCCCGGTGGTCTGGGCTGGGCTGCATCTCACTGACACATTGACACACCACATGTAACACAGCCAGTGTCCTGTGTCAAGCAGGCTTGCTGGGCTTCCCCAGGGCTTGGCAGGGAGTCAGGCAGCAGTAACCTTGAAGGAGCCAACCTCTAGGCCTCTTGGTAGGACAGACCCCAAGACAAGGCAGCTGGGGCCAGATGGAGAAGCAACGGTGGGCATGAAGGGCCACAGCCTGGTGTGCGGGGGAACAGGCGAGCAGGGGAGGAGCAGACAGAAGGAGCATCCTGAGTAGATACAGGCAGAGCCCGCGGCTGCCGCCTGTGACTGCACCTGTGATGGCTTTCACTTCAGGGAGTGGGACACAGGTCCCATTCGCAACCCTTCTGGCGTAATACTCTAAGTCTACTCACTTTGAGTAACCAGGGACGCCTACAGATGTCCCAGGGTATCAGTGTGCTCTCAGAGCATCAGCTTTACTTGCATATTTGAAGGCACAGTGAGGAATGTGTGCCTCCTAGAAGGAGCTGTCACAGGCAGGAGCGCGTAAAGCTGAGCTGCTAATTGGCCCCTTCTGGGGGTGTGGTGTGGGAGGGGGACGTCACTAAACAGAAAGACAGGCAGGAAACCATTTCTTCCAGATGGAGACATTCTGCTGATATTCAAATAAACCTGATCTTAAATTCTGACATTAAAACAAAGCAAAGTAGTTGGAGGCTACATTTGCGTGGGTTTTTAAGGTACAAGAGGAGATGCTGTGAAATGTTGAGCTTGCAGGGGGTGCTGAGAGCCCCCTGCCCACAATCCCGCTGCAGCCCTCTCTTCTTGCTGACAAGGTAGCTCCTGTGCATGTTTGAGACACGTGAATGGAGGTGATGGGTGCCTGGAACATTCTCCAGGAAGGAGGTGGGGAGGAAGGCGATATGGTTGTCATCTAGGAAGGCCACTTGGGTGAGCTGTGTGCTGGGGCCCTGTGGACTGAGGCAGTCATGGGATGCTGGGGATGAGGCTGTGTTACGCTCAGGGCCCATATGAGCGGGGCTTTCCCTCTGAGCCTGAGGAAAACCCCAATACGCCCTACACAGTGGAATTCGGGTTGAACTCAGGTGTCACGGAGGCCCCCTGGCCCTGCCCCGCCTGGCTGGACACTCACGGGTGGCAGCTGGGCTGTCCAGGTGTCCACGAGGCCGAGGGGAGGTGCACTCGCTCCCGGTCATCCTGCATCTGGAGCCGGATGGGCCGCCGGAGTCCCCAGGCGATGTTGAGGAGCCCCTCGATGATCAGAGCCCCTTCTTCCTGTGGAGGTCCATGCACGTCAGCTCCTTCCCAGAGCAGCCACCCTCCCTGTGCTCCTCAGACAGTGGACCCCTGGACACAAGCCCCCAAGCACCCTCCTCCTCTGTGGAGTCCCCTCCTCCCCCACGGAAGGGCCACCAGCCTCTACGTGCTCCAGGGCATGAGGCTATGGGAGGAAGCCTGAGGCGTGCCTTCCACTGTTTGGCCCATGCCTGGCCAGGGGCACAGCCCAGGATGGAGTGGCTGAGTCAGGTGTCCCACAGGAACCCAGCTGCTGTCTGGCAGGCACGTCCACATTGCGGCGAGAAAGCACGGCCTGGCTGCCTGCACCATGCGAGGTGCCTCTCTGCCCACACCGTGCCTGGGCAGCGGCTCCCATGGTCACCAGACCAGAGGTGCCTGCACCTTGAGCTGGGTCTCAGCCCCACACTTCTTCTCACATTATTTCTGACAACAGTAGCACCCACTTACCTGGGCTAAGCCCACCCCCATTTCCAAGCTGGCTTTTTCCTGACAGCCAGTCTTGCTTTCCTCATGACCTCTGGGACATCGCCCACACCACATACCAACACCAGAATTTCTACAGCAGCCCTCATCCTGTGTCCCCAGCCAGCCTGTTTCCCTTCCCTAGATCTGCGAATGGCAGGACTCCTCTCCTGCCACCAAGCCTGAGGTCCTAATCCACTGAGTCCTCCACCAGCACCTTGGCCAGCCCTGGCTTGCACCCCGTGCCCTTGATTTTGTGTCTCTGACCTATTCCCGGCCCCTGTATCTGTGTGACAGTCCCAGGCTCTCTGTGTCCAGCTGATCACCCCACACCTGGGCCTGGTCAGACTGCTTTTTGCACCCTCAGAGCACCTGCAAGAAACCTTCTAGGCCACCCTCTCCACAGAGCTGCAGTGCTCCCAGCTACGTGCTCCTAATCTGCTTTGATGCTAGTCTTTTGGCAATTAACTTCAAACATCATTTTCCCATTACTAGGCACGTCCACACTGCGGCGAGAAAGCACGGCCTGGCTACCTGCACCACGCGAGGTGCCTCTCTGCCCACACCGTGCCTGGGCAGCGGCTCCCATGGTCACCAGACCAGAGGTGCCTGCACCTTGAGCTGGGTCTCAGCCCCACACTTCTTCTCACATTATTTCTGACAACAGTAGCACCCACTTACCTGGGCTAAGCCCACCCCCATTTCCAAGCTGGCTTTTTCCTGACAGCCAGTCTTGCTTTCCTCATGACCTCTGGGACATCGCCCACACCACATACCAACACCAGAATTTCTACAGCAGCCCTCATCCTGTGTCCCCAGCCAGCCTGTTTCCCTTCCCTAGATCTGCGAATGGCAGGACTCCTCTCCTGCCACCAAGCCTGAGGTCCTAATCCACTGAGTCCTCCACCAGCACCTTGGCCAGCCCTGGCTTGCACCCCGTGCCCTTGATTTTGTGTCTCTGACCTATTCCCGGCCCCTGTATCTGTGTGACAGTCCCAGGCTCTCTGTGTCCAGCTGATCACCCCACACCTGGGCCTGGTCAGACTGCTTTTTGCACCCTCAGAGCACCTGCAAGAAACCTTCTAGGCCACCCTCTCCACAGAGCTGCAGTGCTCCCAGCTACGTGCTCCTAATCTGCTTTGATGCTAGTCTTTTGGCAATTAACTTCAAACATCATTTTCCCATTACTATCTCAACCAGCAATTTATTTTATTAATTATTTATTTATTCATTATTGTGCTAAAAAGCATTTCACATGAGACCCACCCTCTTAACAACAAAAATTTGTATGCACAATACAGTATTGTTCACTGCAGGCACTGGGTTTCCAGCAGATCTCCAGAACTGACTCATTCTGCATAACTGAAGCTTTATGCCCTTTGAACAACTTCCCATTTCTCCCTCCTCCCAGCCCCTGGCAACCACCATTCTATGCTGTGCTTCTGAGAGTTTAAGTACTTTAAATTCCTCATGTAAGGGGAAGCATGCAGTATTTGTAGCCAACACTTTAAATATTCACAAATTCTGTTTCTCTCTCCTCGTTGGCATGGAAAATTCCATGAGAACAGGGACCCGTGGAAACGTCTTCATGACCCTGGCAGCACTTGCAGAAGTGCCCTGCACAGTGAGAATCTTGTGGTTTGTTAGTAATACTTTCTATTTCAAACACCCCACCATCCATGGACAAAATAGTGTACTCTAAGTTTATCTAAAACACACACAGCTTTCTGATATGACCTTGTACTATTTGCTAAAAAAGAAAACAAACAAGGAAAAACCAGAGCTATTCTTGATAACCACTGATGCAGCACAGGCACAGATGTGTGACCAGCCCTCCCTATCAAGGCAAGGCCAGCATTGCTGTAGGAGTTAAAGGTCCGTGGGGATAATGAGAAAACCCAAGGTGGGGTTCGGTTCTTCATTCTTGGCCTCGGGTGCCTCTGTCATGGGAGAGAGCCCCTGCCCCACCTGGAACATCTGAGCATGTAGGGATGGCTCATGCATGGAGACCCTCTGCCCTCCAGCTGCACCCTGGACCCTGAGAGGAGGGAGATGAAGCAGATGCGGTCTCGGCCATGAGGGGCTCTCATGAGGATGCAGCGGGAGACACGAGGGAGCTTTCTGGAGAAGGTGCTTATGCATGGGCCCTGGAAGATGGTTAAAGGTGGGCAAAGCAGACGGGCGAGCAGGTGGTCCTGACAGCAGGCCCTGCCCGAGGGGCAGGACAGCAGTGGCTGGGCAGTCTGAAGAAAGCCCGGAAGAGTGGAAAGAGCCAGTGGCCGGGGCTCCTGTGCTCACTGCTGCCCAGAGGAGAAGATGGCTGCTCCTGGGAGGTAGGGGGAATGGGATTAAGGGGCCCATGTGTGAGGCACAGCCGGAGGAGGAGACACACAGGAGGGGAGCCTGTCCTGATCCAGGGTGAGGAGAAAGGGGAGTAGCTGGGCAGGGCAGGGGCTGGACACACTGAGGCTGGGCCTTCAGAGACCCCAGGGGCAGAAGACTCAGGGGACCATGTGGGGAAGGACGGGAAGTCCTCTGGGACTTGGGGGTGGGGAGTGCTGCTGCAGAGTGAGGGGCTGCCTCGAGGTTGGGAGGACGGGCTGGCCCCACATGACGCAGGCCAAGTGTGCCTGCCCCCAACACACGCACCCACCACCACCCACCCTCCCCTCAGCCTGAATGGAGGGGGCCCTGTTAGCTTGCAGTTGTCTCCGATCAAACCAGGGATGGTGGGGCCACAGCAGAGACCACCAGGCTACTGGGCCGCCCTTGCCACATATGTGAGGAAGTGTGTGCTGGCAGACACAGGTCGAGGGCCTGGGTCCCCTACCCCAATTTTTTCAGATCTCTGCTCCGATGTCTCCTCTTAGGGAAGCCACTCTCGGCTATTCTAACTGCAGTGGCAGCCTGTCCCCTGTTCTGCCATGCTGCTGCACTGTTCTTTGCTGCTGTCCTCAGTACCCTGAAATCACAGCACCCATCCTTCGATGGTTGAATTGTCTCCCTCACTAGCTCTGGAGCTCTGGGGCGATGAATTTGTTCACTGCTACATTCCCTGTGCCTGGAGCAGTCACTGGCATATAGTAGCACTGCACACCTGGTATCTAAGATGTAGCAAGACCAGGGCCAGGCCCTGCAAGCTGCCCTTGGTCCCAGCCCAAGGTGGGCGTGCCTCGCGTGGAGCAGACGCAGTAGCCTGGCCTCAGCCGCTTCTGGGCTGGGGCCCTGCATGGCTGGTGTCTCATCAAGGTCGCCTGAGGACTGTCTCAGCCTCACAGGCGCAAGCCCAGGGTTCTGCAAGGACCAGCCAAAGGCTGAGGGTCCTGGGGTGCTGGGGGTGCTGGTGTGATGCATGGTGGGGAACACCTCGAGGCAGTGGTGGCAGACGCTGGGCCAGCCTGTGGGAGCTGGGTGGAGCCCCCTGCCTCTCCCAGCAGCCTTGAGGTGGCCAGGAGTGATGCCCCCCTCTCCCCACACTGTAAACGTTCTCAAGTCTCCCACAGGCACAAACACAGCTCCAGACTGGCAGCTGAGCCAGGCCCCGCCTGCAGGGCTGTTTTCCTCAGAGAGCCTTCCTGAGTGCTGCTATTTTTAGCCTTCATGACAGTAATTGATGACTGGTGGGAAGGTATAAAAGCAGCTGCCAGGCCTGAGGTTCTCCAGACAGCTCAGGGAGGAGCCTTCTGCGGTGGACGGTGGCCTCAGCACACCGTCCTCACTGTAAACCACCTCTCAGCGATCCCACGCCAGATCCCTTGTCTTCTCCCTGAGCTTTGTGGGGGCTTCCTTTGGACTCGTCTGTCCTTGCTCTTCCAGCCTCCCTGCCACCCCCAGACCCCTTCAGCTACAGGTAAGAGAAAGCAACTGCCCTCTGGTTTGAGACAAAACACAAGGGCTTTGCTTATCTTCGATGGCAGTTCTCAGACTGGACCCGCACAGCCTTACTATGGGTTAGACTAGGGACACGCAGTGATAATCGCAGCTTTCTGCAGAGGGCTTTGTATTTGCAGAGGAATTGAGGTGTCATTTAATTTGTTTCTCACAACATCCCTGCCAGGCGGGTATTTATAACCCTGTTTTATGGGTGGGTAAATGGAGGCTTGGAGAGGTGACCTTGCTGAAGGTCCCAAGGTCAGTGCATGGCAGATCCTGGTTTTAAAACCTGGTTTCCTCTGTCTCCCTGTTTGTTAGGTTGGGTTCTCTTAATTGTGCATGTTCCTAATAATAAAGTCTTAAGCACATGGATTTAATGTTAGCAGCAGGGAAGAGCCCAGGAGCCTGAGCCCTGGTCTTTCTCTGCAACTTCAAACTACCTTCAGGACCCCTGAGTCCTACAGGCAGCCTCAGATGAGTGAGGGGACACAACAGGGGTCTAGATGTCCTGTCAGGCCCTCACCATCTGTCTTCTGTTGACAAACAGGTTGCTGCTTACCCTCGCCAGCAAGGATGAGGTCTCGGCTTTTGTTTTCCGTGGCTCATCTGCCCACAATTCGGGAGACCTCGGAGGAGATGCTGCCCGGGGGGCCTGGGCAGGAGCCCCCAGCCTCCCCCAGCCTGGATGACTATGTGAAGTCTATTTGTCAGCTGGCGCAGCCCACCTCTGTGCTGGACCAGGCCATAGACCCGGGCCGACCCAGGCGACCCCACCGGCCAGCCCAGGCCTGCGAGAATAGCTGCACTGCGGCATCACTACAGGACATCACTGCCCACGTCAGTGGCCAGCAGCCCACGCTGCCTGCACCTGGCACTGCTGACCCCCTGGGCTGGCTCTTTGGGGAGTCCCAGGAAAAGCAGCCAAGTAGGAGAGACATGCCAAGGAGGACTAGCCCCGCTGCTGGCCCCTGGGGTCCACACAGACAGACGGACAGTGGCAAGACCAGGGGGACACCCGGAGGGAGGCTCTGTGAAGCTAGGGCGCCCGGGCTCTTTCTGGCAAGACTGTCATGGGGTGGGTACCAGAGCTCCCACTTGCTTAGCTGGACTTCTGAGCAGCCTGGCCGGACCGTGGCCTCCCCCTGCAGCCCCCGCACCAGCAGCAACCTCAGAACTCTCTACTCGCACCTCCCGGTGATCCATGAACTCTGACCCCTCCCCAATAAAGGCGTCTGTAAAGAGCATGCGGGGAACATGTCTCTCCCTCCCCTGTGGTGGTCTCTGGGAGGGAAATGCTTTTCTGTAGGGGCTGCCTGCTTTAGTCATTCACAGTGAGACACTGCTCTGAAGAGCCGTAACAGCCTGTCTCACAGGAGACGTCACTGACCCATTTGCTCTGCTCCTTGCTGAAGCGAGTTACTTAATGTCTCTGTTCCTCAGTGTGCACATGGGTAAAATGGAGAAGATGGATGGGACCTGCCTCCCCGGCTGATCTGCCCAGTAAATGCACTGAGTAGCTCCTGCCATCACGGGCAGGGAAACCAGGGGTAGGGATGCGGGACAGTGGATGGGTATTAGCGCCCCCTTTCAGAGCAAGACTCTGGGCACTCCAAGTCAGCTTCTTGGTCCCCACCTTCAGAGTCCGTGTTCCATGAGGCTCAAGAGAAAACATCGGCCCTCAGCAAGTGCACCACTGTGTTCCAAGGGGACCTGTCACCTGGACACACCCAGGGCACCCCACTCACAAGTCCTGTTGTGGCATTAGGAGAGTTCCCCATGCGGAGGCCAAGACGGAATCTGTACCACTCAGCCTGCAGGCTGCCAAAACCCTGGACCCAGTGGCTGGGTCCCCACCGTCCATTCCCCTAACCACTGTCTCCACCCAGGGACCTCACTGCAAGGTCAGGCTCTCAGCTGTGGGCAAAGAGCAGGGTGTTTTCCAGCTACCCCACACCAGGCAAGCCCAGATATTCTAAGGCCCAGGCCAGCCTGGGCCAGCCCTGTGTCCCTGTGGCCTAGAGAACCCTAGTTCCTGGAGGCATCTGGCAAGCAAGGGGGTGAGGGTGGGAAATGGAGAAGGAGGATTTCCTTCCTCAGAGTGGCAGGTGTGGCCTCAGAGAACTCGAAACAATAAAGAAGGCCGGAGGACCGGTCACTCCACTCCCATGGGCCAGGCTGGACCTGGCTGACCCTCTCAGGAGGGAAGGGACAGAGAAAGGGGAGAGGAGGAGGAGGAGCTGGGGGCTGCAGCCGCGCTCACGGGGTCTGCTTGAGTCGGCTCCACTTCCTTGTTCTGTGAACTGTCCATCTGTTTTCTTTCTGTTTTGCAGCTATTTTAATTGCTTCGGACTTGTTCAATGTTTATTTGTCCTCTTATGTGTGTTTTCTGGGGAGATAGAATGTAAACCACACACTAAATGGACAAAGTTTCAGACAAGCAATTTACTCAGTGTCTTTATCTATAAAATGGGGACATCAGTGCCTGTTTTTCACACCCCACAGGGTTGGGGATACTGGACAAATGACCTCGGAGACAGAGTTAGAAGAACCATAAACATATGTTTGTATCTATCACAGCCTCCTGGTCTCTTCAGTCGCCTCAAACCTGCGGGTCCCTGACCTTCTCTGGCACATATCTGTGGGGCAGCCTTTAGCCAGAAGATCCTTAGGAGCGATGGGCAGGGCTGGCTGACCAAGCAGGCACCTGGCTGGGGCTGGATGGGCCGGGCTTGCTGGTCCCAGCCTCGCTGCAGCCTCTCTTGCAAGGTGGCATATGAAACCCAGGCCAGAGGGAGGCGTCTAGCAACTAGATGACACTTGCAGACTCCCCCCATGCTAAGGGAGGTCAGATAGGCTGAGGAGCCCCCGGGCTTTGGGCTGCCCTGCTAAAATCCCCCTCATGTGAAAGAAGTTAATGGCACCTTCAGAAGGTGTTAGACTCCCCCCATGCTAAGGGAGGTCAGATAGGGTGAGGAGCCCCCGGGCTCTGGGCTGCCCTGCTAAAATCCCCCTCATGTGAAAGAAGTTAATGGCACCTTCAGAAGGTGTTCCCCTCAAATAGAATAAAGGGCTGGGGGCAGGGGCTTCTGGTGGTGTCCAAACTCCTGAGGACAGTGCAGCCTAGCAGAATTCCTTTCCCTTCGCAAGTCCTCCTACGGGGTGGGGTGGGGGGTCTACCTAGCGGTCACATTCTCCCCCATTCATGGGGTGGATCATGGGACACAGTAGATGTCCACGGGGCTCTGTCAGGTCTTAGGAGAGGGGCTGCGGAAGCCCTCCCAGGAAAGGATCCTGGCTCTCTGCACTCCTGGGAGGAACAGAGACCCTGGGCCCGGGGAAGCTCCTATCGTTTCTCATGTTGCTCAGGGACTGGGGCTGCGGAGTGGGGCTGGGTGTGGTGTGTACTCATGGCCACCAGGGGGAGCCCCTGAGCCTGCTGACAGCTGCGCGCCAGGCGGTGGGGGTCTCACAGGTGCACCCCCAGGGTAAGGGTCCTACAGCCTCCTGCTCACACTGTTAGTTGAGAGCGATAGGTTTACACACCGACATTCCCAGGTGTTCTGCTTTTTTTTTTTTTGAGACACTAACTAGCCTCGTTAAAACCCTTTGCCGTCTTCAAAAGGCAGATTGCTCCCAGTTACTTATGCTTTCCATCGTAATACAAGCAAAATTATCCCAAAGGCAAGGTTTATATAAAGGAAGCTGGAGCCTCAGCCTCCTGAGCCGGGAATCCCTTCCCCTAATCCTTAGAAATCTGGGGGAAGGTTCACAGAGAAACGCTTGCCCCAGGACGTGTCCCCTGCCCACAGATGCACTTTGTCTCTCCAAGTTCTACAGATGAGGCAGTGGGAGGGAACGAGCCCCAAACTGAAGTGCTCAGGCTGCAGTTGCTACAGGGGAGGCCCAGCGATCACATGGAAGGTTTTCTTCCAGGGCCCCACACAGCCCTGTGAGGATATACCAGGGTGGGCAGCCCCCCAGCAGCCTGAAGACTGCGGATTGAGGGTGACAAACAGCTTCCTGTGTCCCTGAGATCTGTTCAGTGATACTCAATCAAGACCTTCAAAGACTTCCAAAGCTTAATGCTAGAAATGGCATCACTGCATTATAAACAGTTGTGTTCAGACCTTGGAGCCATGCTGGCATCTTTCATTTACTGCACTGTGACCTTGTACTAAAGACTTAAACTCTGAGATCCCAAGTCTCTTTGCCTGGGAAGTGGCCACTACTACATTGCAAAGCTCTTGTATTACAATAAATAAAATAGAGGCAAATGCCTGGTGCACTGGAGGATCCCAGTAGAATTGCCAGTCCCTCTATCTGCCCAGCTCTTGGGGCCTGGGGCACCCAAGGAGAGCTGGCCTTGGATGGCCCTGCTGCAAGTACTGTGTAGGTCCCAGAGGCCCAGGAGGTCCTGGGTCTGCGATCTTTCAGATGGGTGGTGGTGGGTCATGTGCCCTCGCTGAGACCCTGAGGGGCGTGGTGCCCCAGGAACCAGCTGTGCTTATCAGCATCAGAACTCTGTCTCCCAGGCCTACAGCCTACTCTTTATGGTGGTTATCACCCTAAAAAGATGAGCACTTCCTCAGACTGGCACCACCTTGGCTGTCAGGGCTACAGAAGGTGCTTTCTGGCTACATGGAGATCACGTCAGATCCTCACATCCTCTTTAGGTTTAGGAACATGAAAATTCCCCAAGTGGGTTACCTTCCTACCACTGCAGGCTGTCGGGGACACCTCTTCCCTGATGTGGAGTCCCCCGCTTCTCCACATGGACTGTCCCACACACATAAGCACAGGGTGCTGGCTTGGGGCTTCCCAGCCCTGCTCCCCACACAGCTGTTCTACAGGGAGGATTATCTTGGGGAATCCCAAGTGTCAAGACCAAGCTTTCATTAAAGGTTCTCAAACTTGACCTTTTGCTCAGAATGCCCTGAAGGGCCTGTTACAGCACAGATGGGAGACTCAGAGCTCCTGATTCAGCAGGCCGTGGCCAGGGGGGTGGTAAGAATGTTCATTTCTAATCAGTTCCCAGGTGATACTGAAACAGAACAGAGTCCCAGCCAGAAGACCCTCCAACCATACCCCTTGCCTCTGCCAGGCAATCTGAAGTAGGTGCTAACTCCTCACTTGGCAACATAGATCAAAACCCCCCAGCTCTGTTTGCCTTGCCCCCTGCCCAGCACACAGGAGCTCAGGACTTAGGACTCATCCCAGCTTGCCCAAGGCCTGCACCTGCTGGTTAGTCATCCCATGACAATGCACAGCTACCGCACTGTGCCTGGCTGGGGGGATGCAGAACCAGGCTGAGCCTGGGCCCAGTGTGGTGGGGCTTACTGCTCAAGCGAGAAAAGAGACAGCAGAACCAGATGGCAAGGTGGGGTGGGGCGGGGGGCAGCTCAGAGCCATGAGAGAAGTGGTGAAGAACTGTGTTGGCATGGGGTAGGCGGGCTGGGGGCAGGCAGGATAAGAAAGTGCCAGAGAAAGAGGCTCCTGGCAGCAGGAGGGGTGGGGAACCAGGTGTCAGAGCCCATGCGAGGTGGCCAGGTCAAGGGAAGGTGGAATGTGAGACAGGTGCTATTCCCAGTTGTCACAGGCAGCCCAGCACTGCCTGGCCCAGAAGCCAGAAGATGCCTCCCATCAAGGCCTAAGTGACCAGGGCTTGTGAGCGGTGTGACCTCTGGCCTGGCTATGAGATGGGGTGCCTCAGGTGGCTGACCGAGGCTGTCTGGCAGGTGGGTTCCAGCCGGCCCTCCTTCTTGCTACTAATTCCCCCCCAGCTGCCCAGAGCTGTGCGGACACAGAGGCTGACTCGCTGGTGTGGAAGGTGTAGAAGGATGTGTTTGAATCACTACAGAGAGAGAGGACTAGTGAGTGAGTGGCTCCACTCTGACCAGGTCTCTGTGGGTCACCCAGGGCTTGAACATTCCTGTGTTCACCAACAGAAGAGGGACTTGCGGTCCACTGGCCTTTGCCTGACACTGATGGACGGGGGTAGGTCCAGGAGCCAACCTGATTGCAACTGCAGAAACCTCCCAAATAGAATCTTACCACGCTAAACTCACTATGAGGCTGTAAAAATATAATAAATATTAAATAAACCGAGATGGGGGCACAAAACTCCAACCAGGGTTCCCATGAAATGTCTGGAGGTCCTGCATGGTGGCAAGACCAGGGCTCTACTGGTCTGCCTGGTGCATGGCTCCCTGGGCCTGGGCCCTGTTGAAGAGCCTTAGAGTCCAGCTAGTACCCAAAAGGCTGTGTTTGGCTTCATACACATTCTGTTTAGCCCACATGATGTTTCACGTTGGGAAATTCCTCACAAAATTCCAAATAGCTAGCATCTTCTGGAAAATGGAAAGGGGCTGGCTGTACTGGGCCCACATTCCCACACAGCAGTAGTGGGCTTGACCTGACGGGTGGCTGCCACCTTCAGTTGGGACCCACTCCCCACACTCGCCCCACCTGGCCTTGTGACCATGTGAAATTATGACCCCTTCTGTAGCCCAACACCGCGCTTTATAGATGAGATCACTGAAGACCAAGGGACACAGGTGAGAACGTTCAGGATACCTGACTGGGTTGGTAGGGAACAGACAGGGACTGACTCTCAGTCCCCACCACCGAGTGGTGTGATGGGGAGAGGAAGGACTGGGCTACTCAGTCTCTAAGATTTCAGACTCCAACGTCCCAGCGACTTACCTGGAAAGGTCCAGGTGGAGGGAGAAGGCCACAAAGTGATTTCTACCTGCTCTGAACTCTTGCAGGGATGCTCTGACCCTCAGCACCTGTGCAGGGACTTCAAGGGTGATATACGTACTGGCTGCTGGTAACCTGGTCTCCAGCTCCGGGGATGAGTGACAAGGGTGACCATATAATCATTATGCAAATTGGGACACTTCTGAGAGTGCAGGGCATAGCCTTCCTAACTACTCTGAAACAACAGGTGGAAGCCAGGGCTGTCTGCTGCAAACCAGGATAAATGGGGACCCTGGGAATACCGAGCGCAATGGGCCTCACCTCACAGTGTCTCAGCTGAAAGCTTCTGCCCTCATGGTAGCAGTTGTAGGTCTTCAGCAGGCTTAAGAGCTCCGATCTAAAAAGGCAAAGACACACATGTACTCTTGGGGTGTGGAGGGGCTTTGGACAAGGCATTTGGCCTCACTGGCCTTGGTTTCCTCATCTGTAAAATGGGCAGAATATCACATGTTTTGCCAGCCACAGATAATCATTCAGGAGGGTCTGGTGGGGCTGAAGACGGGCCCACATCACAACCAGGACATCCAGGGTGTTGGCACCTTTCACTATCACAGATCGGAGCCCCTGGCAGACTCCCTGTACTTCATCTCTGAGCCACTTCCTCAGAGTGAATCCCCTGGGCTTGGATTACTGGCATTTTAAAGACTTGCTTTCCCCTCTTTTTACTTCCCAGCAGGCCTGGCGTGGCTGCACCGTGGCCACAGGATTCCAGATCAATCTCCTAACTGCTCCAGACCACATGCTCTCTTCCCTTGGCCAGGACACCTGAATGATGATTTCTGCTTTGGCAGCTCCTCCAATCCTGTAAAGCTGCCCTCGGCCTCTCTCCTCCCTTCCCACCGAGCCAGGGTAGTGGCTCCAGCACTGCTTTGGGAATCAGCTCCCTGGAGCCAGCTCTCCCAGTGGTAGGCGAATCAGTACTGAGTTCACTATGTGCTGGTTACCGTCGAGCATGTTCTACGAGTTATCTCACCTAGTCCTTACGACAACATTGTGAGGGAAACAGCATCGTGTTTCCATCTTATGGATGAACAAATGGGGACAGAGGTTAAGCACTTTGCCCAAGACCTCGCAGCGAATAAGCAGCAAAGCCACTGTTGGAGCACAAGTGTGTGGACCCCTGACGCTGGTCTCGTAACCCCTTCTCTGTGTAGATCTTGGGCAGTGTCTCAAAGCCCCAAGCCTCCGTTTCCTCATCTGTGCAATGGGGTAATCTTTAGCCTACAGGATGGTTAGTGGATTCACACTTGAAACTGTCTGTATCTCCTGCCATCACAACCTTGAAAGGGTTGAGGAGCTTCTCAGGCCTCCCCAGAATTCTTTCATGGAGGGTGAACCTATGAGAGCTTTCTCTAGCCCGTTGGCATCCCCTGCATGGTTCTGCTTCTCTCTTTCCATGTTATTCTGGCCAAGGACCTTCTCTTATCAAGGCCTTCTATATGCCAGGCAGTAAGGTAAAGCTTTGCACATACACACATGTGCTCTCCAGTGCTGACTCTGCTTCTACCTCTCACCCCTCAAGTTGCAGCTGGGGTTTGAGGGGTTAAGCCGCTTTGGGAGGTGACACAACCAGGGTGCACCTCTTGTCCTTCCCACCACAGAGGTAGGTTCATTCACAAACCCCAGCCTCTGTTCACATGCATCTGGCTCATCATGTCTTCCCAACCTGTGTGTGTGCAAATGTTACCAGAGGCTCAAGGTCATGTTTATTAATGACCTCAGGGCCCCTCACAGCAGAGTGCTCCCATGTCCTTCCCACCACAGAGGTAGGTTCATTCACAAACCCCAGCCTCTGTTCACATGCATCTGGCTCATCATGTCTTCCTAACCTGTGTGTGTGCAAACGTTACCAGAGGCTCAAGGTCATGTTTATTAATGACCTCAGGGCCCCTCACAGCAGAGTGCTCCATCTCCTTGGGCACTGACCCTGACTAGTCCAGCACACTCTCTCCTTCCTTGCTTGACATCTCACAAACAGGATGAACCCACCCTCTGTGCGGCGTCAGCCCTGGGTGAGCAGGGGACACGTGGCTGGCATGGAAGAGGAAATGATTTGAGGGAGGTGGGCTTCCTGATGACCTCAGGATCACGCTATGAACGCCTCCCCTTTGCCTTGCTCTACAGTGAGGTCAGGCCCCCAGCAGCAAGGCCCACCTGCACAGGGACACGGGCGGTGGCACCATCGGGGCTGGAGCAAGAGCCCCCTTGCTGCATCCTTCTTTGCCTGGCAACAGGGATTTCAAAACAGGGTTCAGTTCCTCAGCTCCTCAGCTCACCTGTGGAAAAAGTGACCTGCCTGCTCCTTCCCTGGGGAGTTCCTCAAACACTCAGAAGGTAGAAGCTGTCTTCAGCCCTGGGTAAGCCATGTGACTGGGGTTCTTAGTCACCCCTGTTTCTGTGGGTCTGTGGCACCACGATGTCTTGCTTCCAGCAAGCCTGTTATAGGAAGGGCTGGATTTACCCAGAAATAACAGGAGGTGGCTTTTTCCCTTGCCTTCCTCTGTATCCAGCTCCTATCCCAGATCGTTGCTGAGATGTTCACAGCTGCCCTGATGTTCTATGCTTTTTCCTCTTTTAGGGCTTTGAAGGGCTGTTCGCTGTTCAGAACATGGCCACCTCCTCTTCCCATACTCCCAAGTTAGCTCCCCCAGGAAACCTCTGTCAGAGCAGCCCCCATTGGGTATGGGAGCAGCCCCTGTGCCCCAGCTCCTCCTCCTGGCTCCCCACCGTGCTGGGCCCTGCAGGGCTTGCCTCTCCTTTGACCCCCAAGAGGACAGGAGCATGGTGGGGTGGTGCTGCTGCCTTTCTGCCCCCATCCCCACAAGCCTGGCAGATCACAGGAGGTCCATAACTGGGTGTGAAACGACTGAATGAATACAGGAAGCTTCACAGGCTCCTCCAAAAGTCGACTCTTTCAGAGTTGTGCATATACAGCAGGAATGAAAACTGTAATTGTCCAGAGGCCAAAGACAGACTTGTCTGAGTCCACAGGGAGTTGGAGGATACATCCCTCCTCCAAAGGGACAGCCCTTCTGGTATTTCATAGGAAGCCAGAAATCTGGATTTTTATGGACTATATTCCACTGCTTAAAGTTGGGTGACTGTGGCAGAGACAGTTACTGCCCCTGGAATGACCACGCGATCATTCTCCTTCCCCAGCCCCCTACAGCTAGATGTAACTAATTCTGACCAGGGAGCTGCAAACAGAAGTGTTGTGGGTCACTTCCAGGACAGCTCATTTAAGAACCAGCATGCAACCCTCCAGCTCTCCTGTCCCCTGCTGTGGTGACCCAGCAAGCCACATGTTCCAGTTGGTGCAGGTACTTGATGGTCAGCCTAGGCTCCTGAGTGACTCTGCCAGCCTGCACCGGGTATGGACTGGGAAAAAGAAAGAAGCCTCTGCCTTGATAAGCCACTGGTGTTCCAGGGATTTGTTACTGCAGCATAATGCATGCCATCCTGACTAATGCAATAAATAATTTGAATAAAACAATATATATTTAATTAAATATTTTATATATAAATATATTTAAAAATAAAAGGTAGCCAGACCAAACAAACTTGCAAGACAGGCACACTCAGTGGAGCTCTAGTTTGCGACTTCAGACCCACGACATAACTCAGTTTACAATACTTTCGTCCGGGCTGGCCCGTGGCTCACTCGGGAGAGTACGGTGCTGATGACAATACTTTCTTCCTCCCACAGTACGTGGGGAATATGCCCGTTTTGCTCTACGTAGTAGAAAGACCTATAAGTGGAATTCCCTATAAACCAAGCAGTGCTGGCTTACTAATAGATGACGCTTCCTAAAAAGCTCAGGGCTGGAGCTGCTGAGACCCATGTGGCTTCAGCTGCATGCCTTCTCCTCTCTGAGCCTTACTTTCCCCATCTGCACAATAAGAACATCGACCTCCAATGGGTCTGAAATTTTCTCACCTGTAGAACTCCTTGTTTAAGTCGGAAATTTATGCAAATCAGATTAAAGGGGGCTGCTTTGGTTGATAGTAAGGTGGGGGTGGGGAGCCTCATCTGTTAGGGCTTTGGGTCATACTACTTGCAAAGCACTGCCCTCCTGTGCCGGCCTTCAGCAGTGCCTTACCCCTGAGAGCCTGCTACGTAAAGGACACGACCAATGTGCTGAGGGTCTCCCTCTGTGGTTGGATGGCACCGGCTGGGAGAGGCTGCTCAGAGGAGGGAATCAGGAGGAGAGGAAAGGAGGGTCCTGGATTGCAGATGGCACAATGAAGGGAGGAAGGGGAAGGTGGGCTTGTAGGGTAGACAGCTAAGCTTGGCAGGGACATAGAATCGGCACACCATCCCAGGAGATGGCAGGGAGGTGGGAGCAAGGCTAGGGGAGGCAATGAAGGGTCCATTTCAGCCAAGCAGGGCTTTTCCAACTTGCCGGCTATAGCCCGAGCCTCATGGGGTGGCAACCTTGGCCCCATAGAAAGACAGTGTCTCCTTTGAAAGAACCAGACATTTTTGCATAGTCCTATGCTTGTCAGCTGCATGGGTTAAGCAAGTCCCTTGGTCTCTGGCTCTCACATCCCTCCACCCCAAGTAGGCAATACCTCATCTCCTGGGCTCCAGCCCTGGGCTCTGGGATCCCTCACAGAATTCTGCACCAATTATGAACACTGTGTTTACGTCCTGTCTCCTTTACCAGACAAAGGTTGAGATGACTTTCCCTCATTGTGACATTCCCAGTGTATTGCTGAGTTGTAAGAAGAGCTAAGGGGTGTGCCTAAGGGGTGCCAAGCGATAGAGCTACAAGAGACCTCGCACACACCCCAACAAGAAGGCACAGGGAGACGTCTCTGTATTTAGAGCATTTTCCTGAAGCTGCCTATTGAACACTGAAACTTCTTGTGCACTGGGTGGGGCCTTCGCGAATCCCTAATGGACTGTTTTTCAACCTTTTATAAACAGCGCAATCTTATCTTGAAATTAAATCCTAGGCAGAAGCTCAATACTGGAAGCAGGAGTCCGGGAGAGGATGGGGCTGGGGCTGGTCTGTTGCCCAGGCACAGTGTGAAAACCACAGAGTGACAGATGCAGCTGGGACAGGCCGAGGCGGCCAGTGGGCCCCTCCCCCACCCCTGAGCCCTGCTGCTTCTTTGTCCTGGCCTGCTCCCCTCCCGCCTGCCCCGGGGCACACAGCTCAGGCCTCCATGCTTGCTTCCCACGCTGGAGGACAAGCTGTCCCCAACCAGAGAGCTCAGCTGCAGCCAGGGCTCGCTGTCCCCCAGGGGAAGGGCCCCAGGGTGCTGTGCCAACCACGGCTCCCTGTCCCCAGTGAGCAAGCAGTGAGTTGTTTTCCCTTTCTACTTGAGTGGCTGTGTGGATGTGGCCACGCCGCCCTGCCCTCCCTGGGGAGGGACAAAGGCCACTAAGGCCTTCATAACTGCTAGGCTTGGGCCATCTTTCCTTTTCTGTGGTTGTGAGGCCAGCTATCACAGAAGAAGGTGACTGATTCTTCAGGTCACCACTGGATCCCAATTCCAACCGGCCAATGGCAGAAGGAGGGAAAGCAGCCTCCTGAGGTGGGGTTTTCACGAAGCTCAGCTGGGTACACTCGAAAGCCTTTTAAGACTACGTGCTGCCTAATTTTTAGTCTTACCACGTCCCCTCTTGCATAAAATAAAGGCAAGCGTAGATAGTGGTGTCCTCAATCGGCAAAATGGAAAATGTCTGGGCATCCACGTTAACATTTTCTAAGGTTGTCTGCGAAATCTGAGAGCTCGATAACCTCTGTTCTAGTGTTTCCTGAAATTACAACTCTTATTTTTTTTTTTTTTATTTAGTCATGATTTAAGTCAAACAGATCGTAATGAAAGTGACTTGGGAAGCAAAAGAAAGGAGGACAGAAGAGCGGGCCGGAGGAGGCGGCAGGTGCAGGCGGTGCTGTCGCGCATTCCCGGCGGCGACTTTCCGATGCGTGCCGTGCCGGGGG